CAAAACTAGGGGTGCAAAAGTGCATGAAAAATGTTCTAAGTCGGGAAAATTTGGAACAAAGTCTGCCCAACTCCACGATCTTGATCATCTCCACGAACTACTGCACGATCTTAAAGGGAATCTGAAGCAAAGAATTCTGCAAGTTCTTTCCAGCTCCACGATCTGAATCGTGGAGCCATTTCAACCTACAAACCAGGCCACGAACATCATCGTCTCCATGAACAAAGTCACAACTGGACACCGTAGGGGCACTTTTGTCAAATATAGCAAACAATTATAAACAGCAATTTAGGTCAACTTTTAGGCATCTTTGATCTTTTTGAACGTGGGAGAGTAGCTTTTGGAGTTTTCATTTATCTTTATATTTTCTTTCTTTATTATGGTTAGTTAAGCTTCTTAAGGTAGGATTGGGAACCCTAAGTGTGGTTATGTTCTTGGATTATTAATATTAGTTCTATATTTGATTAAGTTTTGTGTTATCTAATTACTTCATGCATTATTGATTGATTTTGTGGTTGCAAACACTAAATTCATGCCTATTTTGCTTGTTAATGTATATTATGTACCGCCCCGCATATTTTTCGACCAAATTTGCCGCCTAAAGGGCTGCAATCCGAGCCAAACTTGGCTGCCAAAGACCAGAAGGTCTTTGCACATGGAGGCAACAATCTGCCAGGCTGTCCGGGCCCTCATGGAGGCCACACTCTGCCAGAAAAGTCACATGCAGCACAACTGGGAAGGACCACAACCTGTCTGGGTGAACATGGGAGCAACTCACTGCCAGCAAAGGCATGTGTTGTGCAACTGGGTAGGACCACAGCCTGTCTGGAAAATCATGAAGGCAAATATCTGCCAGCAAGAACTGGGGCACAGCAGCTGGACAAGACCATTGGCATATGGGTTGCCAACACATTCATGGAGATCATATGATTCCAGCAGCAGTGCACCACAGCTGGACGGGTCCACAGCCAGCCTAGCTGCCTGTGGACATTCATTGTATATATAGACATGTATATGCCTTGTTAGAGGGCAGATCTCTTTACTTGTATTTCCTTCTTTTGTATATGAAGTAAACCCGAAAATTGGCCTTGGCCTCCAATATTTGTCTGTCTTTCATTTAGTTATCTTTCAATATTTGAGTTTGTGTGATTGCCTTGGTTCAAGTAAGACATTGTGCTTATTTCTTTGTTAGGACTTAAGCAAGAGTAGAAGTCGAGCTATCTTGTTGTCCTCACGGAGCCCTCAGAAAATGGTCATGTGACAAGTGATATCAGAGCGAGATTAATTGACCATGGCAACAGATGGAGATAATGATAATTTAGACAACATTCGTGGGAGAGACGAGTCACCAACAAAGAGACAGAAACCAAAGAAGAGAGGGACGAGCAAAGCCCTAGATCCCGCCATAGCCATAACAAGTGAGGTGTCAGTTCTTGAGCTACCCCCACAACAGGTTGGCCATGGTGAAGATTGTGAGACTTCTACCTCCAATCTCTTAGGCGTGAGAATGGATCTCACCGAAGCCGGTTTAGATGCTTTAAATTGGCACATGCAAGTTGTTGAACACAACTTTAGCTCGCTTGAGTCTACTACCCTAGATGGACTAGGAGACGTCAAAGAGATGTTAGATCAAGCGACGTATGAGCACAAGGAAGGACTGACCAACCTTGAGCTTAAGCTGACTGAGGTTGTATCGGCATTGCATGGGTAAATTGAGGCCCTAAAGCAACAATTGTAGGCAGCAAAGTTAGACAATAGCACTGGATATGTAACAGTGCATGAAACCAAAATCGAGGGCCCAAAACCGAATGAGTTTAGGGGCGAACGAAATACTCAAAAAGTAGAGAACTTCATCTGGAATATGGAAGACTACTTTGAGCACCTTAGCATCGTTGATGAGGCTTCCAAGATCCAGGCATCAACGATGTATCTTGCCAACACCGTCATGCTTTGGTGGAGGAGGAAGAAAGAAGACATGGAGAAGGGAACTTGCTCCATCAAAAGCTGGGAACAGTTCAAGTTCGAACTGAAGCGCCAGTTCTACCCCCAAAATGTTATCAATAAGGCACGGAGGAAGTTGAGAGAGTTCAGCCAAACAACTTCCATTAGTGAGTACGTGAAGGAATTCACTAAACTCATTCTGCAGATTTCGAACTTGACAAACGATGACTTGCTATTCACTTTCATAGATGGCCTTCAAAACTGGGCCAAACAGGAAGTGCAGCGGCGTCAAGTCCAAGACGTCGATGAAGCTATCGCGGTGGCTGAGTCCTTAAATGAAAAAAGGATAGAAGCCACAAAGGCAAGGGACACCAACTTCAAACCGGATGGAGACCATGGATGTCGGGACAAGGGCAAGCAAGTTGCTACCCCAGACCACGATTCCAGACAAGAAGGCAACAAGGCGTCTCATTGGCGCGACCGGTATAATCAACGGAAGAAGGAAGTTGGTCCCCGCAATGGTTGTTACATCTGCAAGGACACTAGTCATGGTTACAAGGATTGTCCTTCTTTGAAGAAACTCGGTGCCTTAATTGTGGCCGAGCGGAGGATAACAGAAGAGAGAGTCCAAGATGATGAACAAGCCGAAGCAGAAGTTCAACAATTGTCGGGCATATCTCATCTTGGCAACATGATACTGGGTGTGGTAGTAGCCAAAAATTCTGCTTTGAAGCAAGCTTCCCAAAGGAAGCATGACATTGCCAAACTAGTACACTCGTTGGGCGACGATGTGATTGGCAAGGAGCCCCAATCGAGATAGCCAGGATCTCTATTCGTGGATGCAAAATTGAACGGTCAATCTGTCCGTATCATGTTGGATACCGGCGCGACACACAACTTTGTGTCCGAAGCAAAGGCTAAGTCACTTGGCCTTGCGTTTGGTCCTAGCAGTTCTGTGCTGAAGACGGTAAACGCCAAATCCACGAACGTGAAAGGAGTTGCTTGCAATGTGCATCTCAACTTAGGTGGCAGGGAAATGTGAGTTTCTTTATCGCTTCCTTGGATGTGTTTGATCTGGTATTGGGGCTAGACTATTGGGATGAAGTAAAGGCCTTCATCTGCCCATATCTCAACCAGATCTACATTTATGACCTGAAGGGTCCATATGTGGTACCGACAGTTCGGGTGCCACAAGTTGTTAGTCAGTTGTCCGCGATTCAAGTCATGAAAGGCTTCAAGGAAGAGGGAGCAACGGTTTTGGTAATCGGGATAAAGACTAAAAAGGTCAAGGTAGACGAAGCCTTGACTCCATGTGATCAGCAAGTCCTTAAGGAGAATAAGGACTTCATACCGTAGGCGAAGCCACCTGCCATGGGTCCGTACATGGCACCTCCAAAGTTAGAGGATTCAAGGAAGCAACCTGAAGAGTTGCTTGGTTTGGGGCATGTCAGTCCGTCAGAGGCACCTTGTAGAGACAAGGGTAATATGGAGCGGAGGCAATCTAGCCAACCAAATATTTTCGTAACTCCTTCGGTCGTCGACAAGGAAGTCGAGGTCATTATTAACCATCGGGTGATACAAGGAGTAGGTTGGGCAATTCAAGCGCCCAATTTCTTGTCCGTTGGAAGGGGCAACCGCCAGAGGAGGCATCGTGGGAAAAATATGTGGCGCTATGGCCATTCAAATATCAAGTTCACGATTACTTGAACTATTGTGGCGCCGCAGTCGTCGCCATTTCAAGTGGGGGAGTGTGTACCACCCCGCATATTTTCCGACCAAATTTGCCGCCTAAAGGGCTGCAATCCGAACCAAACTTGGCTGCCAAAGACCAAAAGGTCTTCGCACATGGAGGCAACAATCTGCCAGGCTGTCCGGGCTCTCATGGAGGCCACACTCTGCCAGCAAAGTCACATGCAGCACAACTGGGCAGGACCACATCCTATCTGGGCGAACATGGGAGCAACTCACTGCCAGCAAAGGCATGTGCTGCACAGGTGGGTAGGACCACAACATGTCTGGGCAATCATGGAAGCAACTATCTGCCAGCAAGAACTAGAGCACAGCAACTGGACAAGACCATTGGCGCATGGGCTGCCAACACATTCATGGAGATCACATAATGCCAGCACAAAGCAGTGCACCACAGCTGGACGGGTTCACAACCAGCCTAGCTGCCTGTGGACATTCATTATATATATAGACATGTATGTGCCTTGTTAGAGGGCAGATCTCTTTATTTGTATTTCCTTCTTTTGTATATGAAGTAAACCCGAAAATTGGCCTTGGCCTCCTATCTTTGTCTGTCTTTCATTTCATTATTTTCCAACCTTTGAGTTTGTGTGATTGCCTTGGTTCAAGCACGACATTGTGCTTATTTCTTGGTTAGGACTGAAGCAAGAGTAGTAGTCAGGCTATCTTGCTGTCCTCACGAAGCCCTCAGAAAACGGTCCTGTGACAAAGCGTACTTGTAAGTTTTCAACTTTAGAAACTGATTTCACGACTGCTTTCCTATTACATATTGAACTTCAATTAATTGGTTGTTTTAGGAGAGAACTTGCTTGACAATTGAAATTTTTAGAGAGAATTAAACGGAAGAATTTCTAAGTAGGATATTTGTGGAATAAACAGACTTTAAAAGGGATAATACAGGAGTAGAAACCCACAACTCACACTCGTGCTTTACTATATAAGAGGATGACTATGAAACTAAACTAAGTTAAACTATAAACACTACCCTCCTCTTATATAAAGGTTCCCCTTTAAATTATAAGCCTCATTCTTCTTTTTTATTTGCTCGAAAGCATCCATATGGCATATAGCAGAAATAAAAGAGACAAAATTTGTCACTGCTGCTGCTCGGGAAAAAAGAAGAAAAAAAAGTGTAAACAATTACAAATAGTGGCAAAACACTGCTTGTTTACGATGTCTCCTTTCTTCACATGTTCCACTTGGATTCACGTTCATTCTCCTTTTCGCTCAATTATAAAATCACGTAATAACAACATTTGAAAAGTAAAGAGCTGTTATCCAGATTCGTTGCCTATAAACTCAGCAAACTGTCCCAAACTTCTGCATTATTATGTAAATTTCATCTACTTCTCTTATACTTGCTGCTACTAGAGTCAAAACTCATTTAAAGTACTCAATTCTCCAAGAAGATAAGAAAACAGTAACAATAGTAATATCCCACTTTCACATTAGATTGGATCATCTGCTGAATGATCCTTTCACCACATTCTGTCAATTGAGGAAGCGAGAAAAACATTTAGAGATGAAAACGTTCAAAGCTAGGGGAACAAAAAGGATCACATAGGAAACAATAAAATTAGGTTGCAGGTAAGACGGTCTATATGGCCTCCAGAGCCTGAAGAATATCAGCTTTCAAGTCTTCAAAGTCTTCCACTCCAAAGCTGAATCGAACCAAGTTGTCCAAGATCCCATACTTTGCTCTATCTGACTGGCTAAGATCCCTGTTTTCAAAATGATAAAGAAAGTTTATCCACATTATCCAAGTCCGATAATTTGTTTTGGTTTCTTTAAGAATGTTTTTCCCAAGAGTCATTTGATCCAACATGCTGGACAAAGGCAGATTCAGGATTTGAACCTGATGGGTTCAATTTTTAAGGTTCTTAGCACTGAACTCATTGTACCTTTGAAATTATGATTTCAAATTTAATATTTGCTGAAATTTTAGTGGCTTTTTACGCATATATCGATGTTGTTCAACACTGGGTACAGTTGAACCTATTGAGTAAAGGCCTCATCCGCCTCTAACGGTGGATAGCTTATACATCCAACTAATAAAACCACATTACTGTTAGCACCTTCTAGTATATCAATCCTTGGTGTCACATTTATTGGATATCCAGAGTCTCCATAAACATGCTTTGTCAAGCCCCGGAAAAGGGACAAAGGAAAAAGGACATTGCCAGCCATATACAGAAAATCGACATACCAGTAAGACATTATTGCTGGTTGATCCACAATGCTCTCGCAGCCTCCAAAAGATGGAGCAATATAAGGAATTTTCAGAGCATCAATGAATTTTGCAGTAGTCAGCAGATCCCCATCAACCTAATTAATAATATAACCTTCGGATTAACCATCCAGAATATAGGACTTAACAAGCATAAATTTGGAATACATTGTAAAATACAGACCTCAAAGCTGACCACACCACCAAAACCAGTCATTTGTTTCTTTGCCAGCTGATGTTCTGGATGACTCTGTAAGCCTGGATAATAGACACATCTCACCTGCAACTCAATTTTCTTAGATATGATAGCAGTTGGAGCATGGAACAAAGAACTGTGAAGCAAAGAAAAAAATACAAGGCAACCACAACACACAGATGTACAGCTAAATATTTATGGTATAGACAAAACATGGAATATAAGCAAAAAAATAAGAGGCAAGCAACTTTGAGCCAAACAGAAAGGAAAAAACGAGTTTTAAGAAAAACTGGCAAGAAGAAATCCTTTATCAACACTGACCGGTTTTTCTTATCCTCTTTATTCATTTATCTTTAGTTTCCTCTGTTCTCTTTGCAATTGTTTGTGTATTTTGCCACGGAATGAAACCAGCCAAGTTGCATTTACAGTGAAAGAGCATCATCTTGGTTAACAAAAGAAGTGAAAAAGTAAATCAGAATCACCCCATCCCGCAAAAGAAATGAAGTTTTGTGATACTAGCCGCGGGATCTTAAGGTGCAAAAGAGGAGACAAACTTCCAGTTTACCCGGCCTTGCTACAACTAACAAATAAAGGAAGAAAACAGGAGACTGGAACTTCTGCAGTGGCCACTTTCCATATCTCAATTATCTTTCACACACTTTTAAGGTCAAATTAGCTACATACAACCTACAAAAATAGACTATGATGTGTGTCTATTAGGCTCCCCCTGTTGCAAATTATTATATCAATACACATTAAATAGAAGCTTGTTTATTTCCTCAAAGATACACTTCTCTTAAATTCTTTTATTTTTTCCCTTGAGAATTAGTTTAGGCAGTTGTACTCTGCTACAAATGTCGAATCCAAACCATGCCCAACTGACATAATTACTGAGCGCTTAGAATACCTTGGGATGAGCCTCTAAAATTTCGGCTATCCTTTGCGCAGTTGAGTTCTGTTGCTGTACACGAAGATGCAGCGTCTTCATACCTCTGATGATCAAATACGCAGCATTCTGATACATGGGAGAAAACCGAATCAAGCTTCAACAAAATACAAGCTAAAACTGAGCCAATACATATCTTTCATCCTTTATACACAATGCCATAATACCACAACTACTATCTAGAGTCCATTTAAAAGAAAAATGCAATTTCCCATCCCAAGGATTAATTCTCCTTTAAAATAGTGAGGGTTTCAGGATGAATACTAAAGGGTTATCCAATTCGGAGGCACATGGAATTGAAGATTAGATTGGATAAATTTCATTTGGACCTTAATCTTGCATACCAGACAGGCCCATATAGCATAAAATGCCTGTGAAATAAGCTAAGTTGCTCGGACTCGGGTATCCGATACGGGCACAGATCCTGAGTGCCGGATTCGGCAAAATCTAAATTTTAAGATTCGGGGGTGCGGATCCAGATATGGAAACGGATGCGGAGATTCGGCTAAAAAATTCAAAATTATAAAAAAATAGAGCCATAAAGAGAAAAAGAAAGCCATTCAAGGCCTTCCACCAACTCTCCATCTATATCGCTGCTACTGTCTACCAGAAGTCCGAACTCTGAATACGACCCCCTGAATTCTTGGTTTTTTTGAAACACAAAGCAGCAAATATGAGACAAAAGTACTACAATATTGAAGGTATGTCATTTTTCATATTTTAAATCTGTTTTATTTTTAGTTTTGAGAAATCAAATCTCAATCCCCCCCAAATTTGTCGATGGACTCAGGTCAAAGTATCCAAAGTTAGTTGACCGAATCCGGGACGTATCCCGCTCCCGCTCCCGTCCCGTGTCGAGACGGGTGCGACACCAAAAAT